CGTCTAGTCCATTAGCGTTGAATCGGTTATCGCAGAGATTCTCGACAGCGAAAGATTGCTGTTCAGATTACGACAAGGGATTGCAGTGTAATGCAATTTACGAAGAGAGAGAGAGAGAGAGAGAGAGAGAGAGAGAGAGAGACTTTTTTTTTAATTCAACGAAACGCTTCTCCGAAAGTTTTCCAATCACGAAGGAGAAGGCTGCCCTAAGCTTCAATATTTTATCTGATTATGCATTTCTTGAGGGAAAATCGTCACGCCCCCTTGTCAACGGTTCTCGAAATAAGCGACGTCTTTGGATCTGATGTAGACGAAATGCATTTTCTTGTTCTCTTTTTGAAAGAAGCCCACGTTGCATTGGTTGGAAAAAACGGCACCATGGAGCTAAAATAAAACGCCTAGATCAAGTGGCTAATGCAAATATCGATGAAATTTAAGGAATTGACAAAGTTACTGTATCGGAATGACATTAACTTCTGTTAATCAGTCAGCTGCGAGTCGCGTCTCCCAGACGTTCAGCTACCATATGTAGTCCACAATTGTTTTCCACATTTGGGCCGACGCGACCGCCGATACCGCCGATCAAATGCCAGATTAAGTCGTTAGCCAAAGTCAATCGTTATCGAAGCTTCTTTTTATCGAGATTGTGGAATTGCGTGAAACTCAGGGAGGCGGGTGGGAATCGGCAAAGCTCGAGAATCTGGCTACGAGTGGAATAACAAAGACGAGCCGATGAGGGTCTGGAGGGGGGCTCGAGGGGGGCTCGAGGGGGCTCGAGGGAAGAGATAAGAAGACGGGGGGAATGATCTGCTCTCGAGAGTACGTAACGGCGGTGTCGTCCACTGAGTTCAGTCCGAATCACGGAAATGAAGTACGAGTGACACGGATCCAGGATATTTGTGAACCCGAGGTCATTAACGTCCATCCCTCCAGCTCGCCTTCGCGTTGCCCAGCGCCGTCGAGGCCCCTGGAAGCGCGAATAGCGGAGAACGACTTCAGTCTTATCAATCTTATTATCCATTGAAGTTTCTCTTCTCTCCCGCGGTATTGAATTATTGACATAATTCCGAATTGAAGTTGCATCCTCTATACTTTCCTTCTTTAAATTAAATCAAGAACATGAAGTGTTGCTCGCAAAGAACACAGCTCACAGGTCACAGGTCACAGGTCGGATGACAGCCAATTCCAGAGTTAGCGTGAGAGCAGGAATAACTCGTTTTCCAGTATTCACTATTTGCGTGGCAGCATTGCCATTCGAAGAACGAAATCCGCCAGAGTTGCCAGAGTTGCCAGAGATGCCAGGGTTGCCAGGGTTGCCAAGGTTTTCAGCAGCCAGTA